TCTTATTTGTCTCTGAATATTTTTATACACTCTTTTGTTATTCTTAGATTTTCTTCTTTTTTTCATGAGTTGCAGTATAGTGTCATTCATCCAACCTTTCCTCTTCTCTTTATTTTCTATTAAATGTTTTTCTCTGATCTTGTTAAAGGTTTCACATATATTCTTTTTCTTTTCTGAAAAAATCTGTGCGACTGTCTCCTTTGTTTCCTTATCTTTTAGTCTTCTCATATCACATTTTTTGTTACTATTCTTTTTTGTAACTTTTTAAATCCAAATCTACATTTAAAAATAACAGGAATACGATCTACGTCTAAATACGAGCTGCACATGCTGCCTTGAAATTATCAATAAACATGCTAATCAATGAAACACCAATTTGTAACATTGCCAAAAATAGCGAAATGGGGAAGATTTTACAGGTATGCAAACTAATTATTGTTTGGGGCGAATGTACCTACATTGGGCTATAAGAGGTCATTACAGGCACTGGAAAGATCTTTCGTGACAACCAATACATTTTTGATGGAGTTATAATTCTATTGTCAGGTGATTATCGTCAGACTCTTCAGTTATTCCCCAATCAATTGCCACGGACAAACTAAACCCACGCCTAAAATTATCAAATTTTTAGCTGCATGTAAAGATGCTGCAATTGTCAACGAATATGTGAGTGTTTTCGGAACAAGATCAAAGTGCAATTATTGTGTGTTTAAAGCAGTAGGGATGGCGGTTTTTGACAAAACACCGGTTTTCGGTTATACCGGTTTTTTTTGCTTACGGTTTAACCTGGCTGTTATAACCGGCCAAAAAAACCGGTTTTTACGTTCTTATGTAAGAATATTATGATTACAAATACTTTTTCAACGAAATATTATAATAAAATTTAATTGTTTCTGGCTGATGTGAGTTACTTTCAGTTTGCTTCTGTATTTATAAAATAAAATAAAAATTGAATTTTAGTTTTGTTTGGAATAATTACTTGAGAATAATAATTATGATTGGGTGGGATCCAAAATAATACCTAACCTAATCCTAATCACTGTAAAAACCTAATAACCGGTTTTTACTTTAAAAATAAAAAAACCAGTTATAACTGGGACAAAAAAAAAACAACCGATAAAACCGGTTATTTCGAAGTCAAAAAAGCGGTTTTCGATTAAAACCGGTAGGTTTTTCCCATCCCTACAAAGCAGTTGTTACTCTTTAGAAATGGTAAAGTTACTATTGACATCTCGACCGGAGCAACAAAAATCTGTGGAAGCCACACATTTTTGTTACTTCACTCGAAAGAACAAGCTAATTCAGTAAGCTAAGTAGGATCAGTTGCTATTATGCTGCGTAAAATGAATCAACCTCGGCTGTGCAATGGAACGAGACTGACTTTTATTGACTGACTTACTCAATAATGTACTATTTAATTTTTAACATTTACACTTTTTCTTGCATTTAGCTTTTCGCAACAAATCGTAAGGCCAACCGTTGAAAGTTTGTGGAATTAACGAATGTGTCGCGCATGGGCCATTATTTGCGCGTCGAAAATGGTTGTATATTTACGTCGAACAAAAAAATCAAATATATTTCTTATTAGAAACCATTAAATTTGTTTAACTTTTTTCATCCATAGTGTTTTTCATGAATAAAAGAAACTATAACATTCATCAGAAATAGGAAAATATAAAAGCAGCAATAATTAAAACAGCAAATGAAAATTTAAAACCAAAGAAAAGAAAACATAAGGAAGAAGAAATACTACTATTAATGAATAAAAGAAAATCATTCAAAACAAAAAAATCCAATTAAATATAATGAAACTGATCGATTAATTAGAAAGAGAATAAAAGAAGCTAAGGAGATAATGTTACATGAGCAGTGTCAAGAACTAGAAGAAATTGAGAAAAATTATGACTATTTTAACATGCATAAAAGAATTAGAGAATTAGAATTTACAGGAATGAGAAAAAACACGTCAAACTAGGCATATAAACTAGAGATACAAATCAAAAATGCAGAAATGGACACAATTTATAGCACAACTTTTTGAAGACAAAGAGAGAACAGAAACACCAAAAAAAATTAAGGGTGATACTGGGTCTGACATTATACGAGGAATGCAAATTAAATATGCAATAAAACAAGCTAAAGGTAGTAAATCTCCCAGACCTGATGAAGTTCCTATCGAATATATAGAACAGGTATAATACCTAAAGAATGGCTCCAATCAATATTCATACTACTTCCCAAAAGAGCCAATGCAAAGGAGTGAAATGAACATCGCAACATAGCCTTAATAGGTCATGTCTTGAAATTGTTTTTAAAAGTAATTCACAATAGAATACATAAGAAATTAGATGAAGGCATAAGTAATACATAAATGGAATTTAGGAAAGGACTGGGAACACGAGATACACTGTTTGCAGTTAGTGTTCTTTCACAGAGATGCTTAGATATAAATCAGGAAGTATATGCCTTTTTCATTGATTTTGAAAAGGCATTTGACAGAGTGCAGCATAATCGGCTTAAATAAATTTTATTAAATAAAAATATAGACAGTAGAGACATTAAATTCATATATAACCTCAATTGGAACCAAACAGCAAAAGTAAAAGTTAAAAATGAATTGACCGAGGATATCCAGATTTACTGTGGGGTCCGCCAAGGTTGTATTTACACACTTGTTATACAGTGAAGCCATCTCAGAATTAGCGCTTACCGAGGTCAGTGAGGGCCTTATAAGAAACTGTGAGCCACTTAATAACATTAGATATGCTGATGACACCGTCCTTCTTCCAGAAACACTAGAAGAACTGCAACACCTTGCTGAAGAACTGTTCATGGTATTTACAAAAGCACAAAACATCTAAGTTAAGCTGGTACTAGATAATATAGAAATTGAACAAATATCTTTATACAAATACCTTGTAGCATGGGTCACAGAAGATACTGATTAGACAAAAGAAATAAGATGCCGCATTGGAATTGCACGATCAAATTTTAATAGAATGACAAAACATTTTTGTAATCGCGATATCAATATATCGCTCCGGATAAGAATACTTCGATGTTATATGTTCTCTACCCTTTTGTATTGGGTTGAAGCTTAAAAAATCCAACAATAAAAACCTAGAAGCATTAAAAATGTGGTGTCACCGACGTATTTTGAAAATATCATGGATGGATCGCAAAACAAACGAACAAGTTCTCGAACAACTAGGAAAACAATGCGAAGTTTTCAATTCCATAAAAATCAAGAACTTGGAATACTTAGGGCCTATCATGAGAGGTGAAAAATACGAACTACTAAGGACTATAAAGCAGGGTAAAATCAAAGGCAGAAGAAGCGTAGGAAGACGTAAAATTTCGTGGCTACGCAATCTCCGTGAATGGTTTGGATGCAGTTCAATTGAACTATTCAGGTGCGTAACCAACAAAATTATAATTGCCAGAATGATTTTCAATCTCCGATAGAAGTTGAAGTATTTTTCAGTTTTTTTTGGTTTTCTGCAAATTTTTAGTTATTTAACTTTATTTGATTCTAAGGCGGTACAAAGTTTTCCGGACCATCCAGTTGTAGTATAAAAATATATCTCATTTAGCTAATTGTAGGATAATCCACTGGTTAGCAATTGAACTTTTTCCTCCCAATACTCTAAAAGCTTTTTTAAATTCATTAACGAATTAAAAGCAAACACATAAATCTCTTTCTTATAGATTTAATAAAAGCAAAACAACTGACGGCATTTAACGCCGCGGCGTATCCTCATCCTCACCGCCGTTTTCGAGGTTTCCATATAAATCTAAGTTCTATAAACCCGAAGACTGGGGGAGATAAAGTTTCGTGTAAGTTTTCCGAGTGCATTCTCCGTAGGGGTTGGAGCTGTGCCAAGCATTCTTCCACCGCAGTGTACAACGGCCTCTCATCCACCGCTCCATCATCCCTTCGTCTCTTTTGAGCGGGCCGCAAAAGCGGGACAAGAAGAGGAGGTCGAATATCAACAGCTTGGCCTTCTAAGGGTGAAGTAATTATAAATGTCATGAATAATAATTTATATTTGGAATGGTAAAATCATAAATTATAGTTTAGATAAATCTAAATGAATATACAAGAGATTTTAACGTACTTTTTAATTACTTTTTGAATTATTTAATACCCTCTGTGTTGTTAATTATTCCGCTTTGTTCTAAAGTCTTCTATCTTTTTGTACATTGAAAAGTGAGAGAATTTGTTTTTTAATTACATTGGGAATTTTTGGTCTCAAAACACGCCAACTGATTTATTCTCTTTCGTCCATTGTACTTCTTATTCTTATATACCAAAATAGGTCGGTATTTAATTGTCGACATTCATCCTCTATTTTTTGTCGTAAATTATCTAGAGATTCTGGTTGAGTAGAATTTTTGTCATTTTTGTTTTTAAATATTCTCATAAGAAGTCCAGCGGTATTAAATTCGGTGACCTAGATGGCCAGTCTATCGTCTGTCCTCTTCTACCTATTCAAGGAGCGGAATAAGTTTCGTTTAAAAATTGTCGCACAGGTAAAGCAAAGGTAGAGAAGCTCCATCATGTTGAAATAAAAAAAAATCTTCGAAAAGGTTATCATTCTTTTCTACTATTATTCTAATACGATCAACTACGTGCCTAAGTAATTCAAGATACGATGCACCATTTAAGTTTCCAGTGATAAAGAAAGGTTCGATAATGTGATCACTTAGGATATCACACTCTACGCAATGGTTTTAACACAATTTTAATACAATAACTTCGCTAACGGCAAACTGAAACGTACAGTAGGTAATCCAATACGTCGATAAATCAGAAAAGGTGTTGACTTGTGGTACAAAAATACTTATTACAAACTCTGTAGCAATAAACAACAGTAAAGAAAACCAGATTTGAGAACAACACAACTAAAATGAAATTAAAACCTTTGATTAAAAAACAAATAATATAGTTTAATTGGTCGTAACAATTATGTCATATAACCTGCCCTTAAACTTGATTTGTAAACGACACTGACAGACGCCACAACTATCAAAAATTTTTGTTATTCCATTTTTAAAACACAACATTTGAAAATATGCAGCTGCTGTTCAAATTCACACCCACATCAAATATCTAAGGACAACCCCAAAGGGGTAAGTTTTATTTATGACATTCCTTACAGATTCACGCATTTTTATTTTTTAGACGTGTCCAAATCATTCACAAATGGTCATAGACGATGAACTTCATTAAATTAAAATTAAAGAAAAATATTGGAAAATCATCTACATTAAGGCAGCAGCACCAAGGTACCAAAAATTTATTTCTTAGTCTACGTTTCAATTACTGGATGTTAACAATCCCTTCTATGGAACCATAACACTTCCTCTTAATTCTGTGATAACAACTCTATAATTCTTCTTATAACAACATATTATTTTAGACACTAACGACAAGATGCAATCTAGGCATTCCTCAACTTCGGGAGTATTGATGGTAGGCCCAAATTTCAGGGTTGGTAAGAAAATCGGTAGTGGCAATTTTGGAGAATTGAGATTAGGAAAGAACCTCTACAACAACGAGCATGTTGCTATTAAATTGGAACCTCTTAAGTCTAAAGTGCCGCAGTTGCATCTGGAGTATAGATTTTATCAAATGTTAGGAGAACAGGAAGGTAAATGTATCTAGTCTGTGTTGGTATTTGTTTACTTTTTGTTTACCAAATTTTGTACCATTTTATGCTGCAACTTTTACTATTGTAGGTATCGCTAAAATATACCACCTCGGTATTTGCGGTGGAAGATACAACGCTCTGGTGATGGAACTCCTCGGACCAACTCTAGAAGACCTCTTTTCGGTTTGTAGCAGACGATTTAAACTTAAGACGGTACTGCTAATAGCTGACCAGTTAATAACGCGTTTGGAGTACGTTCACAGCAAACGATTAATATTTCGTGATATTAAGCCTGAAAATTTTTTGATCGGGCGGTGGAGGACCAAAAAGGATAAGATTATTCATATTATTGATTTCGGATTGGCGAAGGAGTACATAGATCCTGATACTGGAAAGCATATACCATATAAGTAAGTTTCTGTCTAAACTTTCATTGTAACGGCCGAATATTACTAAAAGCATTATAATTTAATTATGAGACGATTACTGGTAATAGTAACTCAACCATATTTTTGGGATAACAGTTGCTAGCTTAGTTTTCTTTCAAGTAATGGACCTAGAAGAATATTTATTCAAACCAATATTCATAAAAAGGAAATCGATTTTCTTTTTTCTCATCTTTTTAGTTTTATTGCAGTATTTAAATATGTTTTAGAATTGATACATTGAACATTGTCTACATATCCTCTTTTCTTAATATTAAATAGCCATTCGTTCTCGAATACCGATTGTTAGTGAGAGTGGAAATCAGCATCATAGGTTGTTTGTTAAGGTTAAGAGGGATGCAAATCGAAATCAGATGGTGATATGATGTTAGAAAACGTGAAAAAAAAATTTAATATAGTTTTATAATATGAACCTAGAATTTCTTACCCCTTTTTTAATATTATTACGTTTTAATACTACTAGAACTTCATTTTCCTGTAATAATATTCTTATTTGATTCTTCTAATTTTTTATGTATGTATAGCGTTAACAGGCGTTTTAGGTCCATTGCTGGATGGATAATTTCCATCGTTTTCTGTTCTTAGCTATCATCTTCCAATCTCTGATTTCCATCTCTCTATCTTCCATTACTATATCTCTTAATTACTTTTTTGGTCTTCCTCTCGTTTTTTGTCCTCAGGTACTCTCCCACCAATATTCTTGGCTAGTCTTTTACCTTGCATTCTTTCTAGATGTCCGAGCCATTCTAGTCTACGTTTTTTCACCACTTTTTTTATTGTAGGGTTAGCATACAAATGGTACACTTCTGCATTAGTTCGTCTTTTCCATTATCCCTCTACTACCTTTCCACCAAACATTCTGCGAAGTATCTTTCTTTCCCATACTTCCAATCTGTTCTGTATGGTTTTGTTCACAGTCCATATCTCGGCAGCGTATAGTAATGTGAGCTTAATTATAGTTTTGTATACTTTTATTTTTATATTACGAGATATATCTTTGGCTTTAATTATTTTGCTCATGACTGCAGCACACCTGTTCCATTCTCCATCTCTAATTCAAGGGATATCCTGGGGTTTATTTCTTTTTTGCTCGAGATTTCCATGTACTTTGATTTATTAATATTAGCTTTCAGTTCCATTTTAAAGCTTTCCCGAATTAGTCTTTTTGATATATTTGCCAGTTCTATTTCATTTTGTTGGAATAAGAACCACATCATCAGCGTATGCTAAGCATTGGTGCTCCTTGTTTAATAGTGCCGGACCTATTTATCTCACTAACCCTTACAGTTTTTTCTAGAACTATATTGAATAGTAATGTAGACAACGAGTATCCTTGGCGAACACCTTTTTTCCCTTCGAATTCTCCTGAGACTGAATACAACGGCATTTCACAGCACAAATGGTTTGTCTAATTGTAATTTTTACCAATCCTTCTATTGTTTCTGGCACTTCCCTTGCGAAATCCTTCCTGGTATTCTCCTAAATTCTTCTCTACGTATATTTCTAATCGTTTTTTAATTAATATGGCAAGCACTTTATATATTACCTCTAATAAGGATATTCTTCTATAGTTTGCGCATTCAGTTCTATTTCCCTTTTTGTGTATAGGAATTATAATCGATTTATTCCATTCTTGAGGCATTTCTACGGCATCCCACTCTTTTGGTATTAGCTCACTAAGTTGATTTATTATGCTCTCTCCTCCATATTTTAAGTTTTCTACCACAATGTCGCTCTCTTCGTGGCTTTTTTGATTGTTCAAATTTTTTATTCTTTCTTCAATTTCTTCTCTTGTGGACTTTGGTATTTCTTCTATTACTATTTGAGGTTTAGGAATATTATAATTTTCTTCACTAGCCACTTCATCATTTAGCATCTCTGCGAAATCTTTTTTCCACCTTTCACATATATTTGGTCTTCGTCCATTATCAGGTTTCCTTGCTAATCTTTTACATTTATGGTTCTTCCCTGATACCCAGTTTTAATGTATTTTATTCCTTTTTAAATTTTTTTTCCAATTTTTCTTCTAATTTTCTTCAATAGGCTTTAATTCCGCTTTCTTAGGATTTTATTTACTTTTTTTCGTTGTTTGGAATATCTTTCTAGGTCGTGTTGTTGTTACGATCGAACTTTTTAATCTCAAATTTGATCTTTTTTTAATACACTAGAAAACTAAGTTTCTGTAGAACTCTGTTCTACATTCGTCATCGAACCAGTGGTTTTATCTAAATCTTTTTGTTTTTGATATGTTCTTCGACGATTCTTCCTTTATAGCGTTTGTCATTTTCAAGAACTTGTGTTGTATGTTACTCACAGTAGTATTATCTTTATTCGTCTTCCGGGTTTGGACCATGTCATTTGTGAGTGACCCAAAAGTGGGTTCATCTCGACGTTTCGCTACAATTGTATGTAGCTTCTTCAGGAGAACAAAGAAAAAGAAATCAAAAGACAGGAAGATGAGTAGTTAGCAACGGGGTTGCTAACTACCCTGGGGTAGTAGTTAGAGGCGGGGAGTGTATCCGGATTCACTCTCCGCCTCTCGACGCGTTAGTGTTCTGAGCTGTTGGACGTGAATCCCTGTCCTGGCATTTGGTTTTCACCTCTGGCTGCGTTAAGTAGTTGAGTTACTGTGACCATATGCCCATCTTGGTAGTTAGTATTCGCCTCTGGTTGCGTTGAGTAACTGAGTTACCGTTGCTAACTACCCATCTTCCTGTCTTTTGATTTATTTTTCTTTGTTCTCCTGAAGAAGCTACATACAATTGTAGCGAAACGTCGAGATGAACCCACTTTTGGGTCACTCACAAATGACACGGTCCAAACCTGGAAGACGAATAAATTATAATTCTGACTCTGGACGTGGAAGCCTACGATTTCATTAGTATTATCTTGTTTGGCGTAGGTTTCCTAAATATCCTTTTGATAATCCTGTGCTACCTCAAAATTTTCGTAGTTTTTCAAAATTAAATTTATGTTGCACTTTCTTTTTCCGTTTATGCTTTTTAATTATTGTTTCTGTCATATTAATTTTAACCGTTTTCACATTTGTTATTAAATTGGCGAATTTCTCTTGTATTAAGATCTGGTCTTCTAATTCTAGTACTTACTAATTCGTCTTTCTTACCTTGACACCATTTTAAATTAAAAAAAAACAGATTTTATTCGAGCTAATCTGTTTTTTTTTAATTCAACGTGTACGTCTGTTTATATTTATCTTCATGATATACTCCCAACTGAATCCAACCACAACGACACCGCAACGTCCGTAAAGTTTTTCCCGTTTACAGAGTAAATAATATATCAGCTCTATTTTGCGCCGCGTGACCTGTACCATCCCGCGTCGTTTAATTTTTCTTCCGGCCAGTCTGTCATCGGCTAATTTAAATGTTGCGTTTCAGGGAACATAAATCTTTAACGGGCACAGCCCGTTACATGAGCATAAACACCCATATGGGTCGAGAGCAGTCCCGGCGAGATGATTTAGAGGCGTTGGGACACATGTTCATGTACTTTTTGAGGGGCTCGCTGCCGTGGCAGGGCCTCAAAGCTGATACTTTAAAGGTAATAGTCCAGTAAGTAACGACATAGATCATACAATAAATTTATATATTATATTCGTATATCTATTCAATCTTTAACAAAGTCGTTTTAGTTTAGAGTACTTTTTAAACGTTCGAATTGGTAACCTAGCAAAAAAATCATATCTCCCAGTGCTCTAATGCACACAGTCTACATAAAAGTCCCAATTAAAGTCCAGACTGGAGAACAATAATTTCTTTTTAAAATTACGAAGTTAAAAACAGTGAGGGAAGCTTTAATTTAATCCTATTATTGGAATTTTTGCAGCCTGTTTATCCTTTTAATAGCTTTAATTCAAAATTGCCTCCAGAAATGCAAATAATATCAATTAATTTACCTTTCGTTTTAAAGTCACAGTAAAACATTAATGTATTTCTGGTGGAAAATTTATTTTATTTCATTTAAGTTTAATGGTTCACCAATATAGTTACAATTTATAGTTACAGGGTACAAATGACAAAAAGATAATAAGAAATCACAAAAGATAGATTACAATGTACAGAAAGGAACGTTTTGGATTTACAGTAAAATATTTCAATTTTGAATATTATATAACCCTCTCTGTGGCTTAGTGGTAAGAGCGCCTACCTTTGAACCTAAAGGTCGTGAGTTCGAATCTCACCTGGGTGGAAATTTTTGTTTATTAAAAATTAATGAATGAAAATAATTTCTATCCTTGTGCGATCGGTACTCACCGGAGGAACCGCAGACGTTCGGATACAATTAGCGTCTCTTAGCAAAGACAATGACGTCGACTTTGCTAAGTATCAAGACAATTACTCTACACATACACTACACACCTGACTAAAATTCACTGTACCATGCCAATGACCATTAGTTGTAGACGCATTAAACTCAATCAAAAAAAATATTATAGAATATTATAGGATACCGTTTGAAGTATCTGGCAACCATGAGATTTTCTGGGTTTTTCTTTAGATTGTGTCTTTTTGTTCCCATTTGTCAGAGAAGTTCGGGCATGATAAATGGACTGTAAAGAGATAAAACTAAAACACAATGATGGCAATGATAATGTGACTTGGTCAGTGTAATCAATGCGGAGACCTTTTCATTTTAGACAATTTAAAACTGTTTATGGTTTAGTCGACGGCGTTCTACTCCATCGTTTATTTTATCAATATTATTATACTTAAATCGTTTTTCGTTATCTTTTTGAGATTTTGGTTTAAAGCTACAACACGTTTTTCAGTACGATCAGCCGTCTTATTTCCAGAAATTATCTATTTCCGTCTTATTTCAAGTGTGAGAGGACCAATATGAATGTTCCCGATATTCCATTCAAGGTATGGTGACAATAAGTGCTATGTGAATCTTGATACTTTTTTATCAGATTCATAGAAAATAATGAATCATTACAGTAGCTACATATATACAATAGTCGGTGAAGGTTTTAAGAGAAGAGTTTGTATTAGTGGCTATACAAACAATACGCAGTTCATCTTTAGAAGCATCAGTATACAGAATTTTATTAAAATTATATTTAAGAAGTTTAAAAAAGTTTGTGGTTAAAACTGGTAGGGGAGTAATTTGTTTTGGACAGTTAAAGAGAATGTCTCTATAAATAACACGATAACATAATAGAAAATACTAGAATTGTTTTTGTAAGGAAAAAATTAACCAATGACAAAATATCAAACCATTTCATGGTTATTTTATTTTTACTCAGCAGTTGTTTTGCTTCGAGCGTCAAATTACCTATAGTATTCGAGGACACTGTCAGACTTAAATTTGGTTAAAAACTTTGGTAAAAAATTGTAAGTAAATGGATGCCGTATATAAATAAATAAAGTTACGGTATGTTACGTACGTTTGGACTTTTGGTATCCAAACAGCGTTGCTTTTACGATTTACTTCCAGCATGATTTGTTTAGTCAACGTTAAAGGAGGACTCAGGTGTCATAAGACCAGCTTAACGGGGACAGAAATCTCGACAATGGCAAAAGTTGGTTTAATTTTGATGCATAGGAGCTGTGAAAGAACGGTCTGTCAATCCTTTTGGCTTAAAAATTTTTAGCAAGAGGTATCATAAAAGTTGCCACACAAATAACTGGATTCATAGGAACTCTTTCTATTATTGCGAAGCAGAATTCATCAAGCATTGATGTCCACCCATAGATATGTCGTTACGATAGTAATCCTGATTAGTAGGAGAGGAACCACAGGTTATCTACCTGAGTACATAATAGTGCAAAACTATGATCCGTAAAAATATATTTAAACACTTTTACGGTCGTCTCCTTTATAGCCAAACCTGGCAACGATACATCTTGAAGTTTCGAAAGTCGAAAGAGTCAAAACTGTAACTTTACTAAGTAATCTTAGTTTATAGTATATAGTTATTATAATCTTTTCGATGTTGGTACTCTACATTACCTGAATACAACTCACATACCTGCCTGGAGAGTTTCCAATCTGCGATCTATTCTCAACCCTAAGCTTAGTTTATATTACATAATATTATTATTTATAACGTCAGTTTAAAAAAATAATAATTTAAAATTACTAACCATCCTTTAGTTGTTTAGATCAGAACTAGTTATGACAACTTCATTTGGGTTTATGCTTCTTCTACGATTTTTTTTACTAGAGTCTAAAGTGGGGCATCAGAAACGTTTGCTTTTGACAGTCAGAGTTGCTAAAGAGAAGACAAAGAGAATATGAAGTGTGATTAGAAAACGGCTCTTGAATTGAGCGTTTTCGGCTTAACTGATTATTATCTGAGATATTTTAGAGGATTATCTTCTAGATCGGTATAGTACTCATAAGAAAGTTCGTGGCCTGCTAAGTTGAGAAGCTTAGCTGACAGAAATAGAACTTGTTGCTTAGGAAATTTAGTGAACATGTGTCCTTGGCGATGGTAGAAAGTTTTTAGAACTTCTTTTGCTCTGGTCTTGGAGTTCTTTATGATTCTTAGTAAATATCTCTTTCTAAGAGACTAGATTCTGCTTTCTATTGGGATATTGGTAGTTTGGTGTATGAATGCTGACGGGAAGCATAAATGTTTGTTCATAATTTTTCTTAGAATTTAAATAGGAATTAAAATTCAATATGCCTGTGTATTTAATAAAACTGGTAAAATAAAATCTTTCGATAGTATATTGCAATGTAAGGGTGCAGAACCGATTGTAAAGATCCTTCAGTATTATAAGATGTAAATATCTATTGAAAATTATTATAGAATCAGCTGAGATATAGATCCAAGATAAAGGTAAGCTGGGTGATCAATTCCTTGAAAGAATTTAAGGGAAAGGCAAAAGAAAATATCATAGGAAATCAAGAGATAAGGAACATTTGTAAATGTGCTTAATATTTTTACGATCAAAAGAGACACACCTATCTTCTTCTTATAGTGTCGTGCACCTATAGTGCATTGGCGAATTATCTTAAGGTCAGACGTCTGTCTTTTACGGCATGCAAAATATATCAGCAGAGCTGTTTCGCAGAGCAGTCAACAAAACCATGATAGCCTTGATGATCGCCAACATCCGGACCGGATAAGACACTGAAGAAGAAGAAGAAAATATATCCAATGTTATTTATGCCTGTCAAGTTCCTTATTCTCCGTAGCCATGACATTTGTTTACGACCTACTCCTCTCTTGCGTTCAATCTTTCCCTGGATGATTAGTTGAGGGATTGCGTATTTTTTTCCCTTTTCCCTATTTTTCGTACCTTGATCAAATTGAGTAGTTCTCTCTCAGTATTTGCCTTTCTAAGGACTTCCTCGTTTCTCACCCTATCTGTCCATGGTATGCGGAACATTTTTCGCAGCGTCCATATTTCGAAGCCCTCCAACTTATTAATGAAAGGTAATCTTAACGTCCATGTTTCCATGCCGTATATCAATATGCATACATAGCATTTAACCATCTGTAGCGGAGATTAAAGGAAAAATTGCGGTTACATAGTAGCGGGCACACCTATAAAGAAATGTAATTAGTTAGACCACCCTGCATATGGACAGGGAAAAGATAATGATGAAAATGGCATATTTGTGCTTTCTGTAACTTATATAGACTTTTTACTTTACAATCTCTTTGGTTTTCTCAATAATAGTCAATATTGATATAATTATTGCAGTTTTTAAAAAGATCGGTAATTTTTTACCATAGATAAGTTTAACATCAAATAGTTAACAAGTTACGTAATGATTTAGAGAAGATATTGCCATTTAGTAGTTATAAATCCAATTTTAATAAATAAAGCTTTATAACGGACAATAAACATAAAACCAGGTCCTATTATTTACCTCTAAAATTTAACAAACTCCCTAAACATTTAACAATTTTCTCAAACTCCCGACGCTAACACCTATTCATCTCAAATTCATTAAAGACTTTCTACCTCCAAACAACTCTTAATTGAATAATTAACTAGAACCCATCACCTGCCAAATTAGCAGTGAAAGCTAAAAACTGTTACAGGAGCGATATCAAAAAATCGGCGAAACGAAAAGAGCCACGACGGTCGAGAGTTTGTGCGAAGGTCAACCGGAGGAGTGGGCCACGTACTTGAGATACGTCAGGAAGTTGGATTTCTCCGAGACGCCCGATTATGATTATTTGAGGAAGATATTTAGGGATTTGTACGAGAGGAAAGGGTATGCTGATGATATGGTCTTTGATTGGACGGGTAAGAAAAATCTTTAGTAATAATTAATATAAAAACTTGATAAAAATTAATATAAAAACTCCTATAAATGAGGAGCCATTCTGTCTCCGGCTTCTATATAACATGTAGCTTCTCCACTTTTAAAAATTTTAAAGTGTTTGTTTGTCTTTGTGTATTCTACTCATGTCGGATAGGCCACAACTGACGAAATGCCCCTGAGGATGATCTATTGATCGAAAGTACTTGGGCAAGATTTAATTAATTACTGTGTTCGATATTTGCCTTGTATACCATCAAAGTTGAATTATTCGAACATTCAACCTTATATTGACCTATTATTATTGGCTATGTCAAGCTTAAAAAGTCAAGCAAGTCTAAGCAATGTTGATAATATTTTGCAGTGTAAAATTTAGAAATGTTACGGTTTGGAACTGATAAAATGTATCACTTGGAAAAAGGAGTCAGTTACAAAATGAAACGACTCAAATTGCTACACTTTGGAATTAAAATAAGTATCATTTTATGACAAAAAATATGTGTGACATCTTCACAGAACGTTATTATAGAGTTGTTACCTTTTGGAACTCGGAAATATTGGTTATTGAAGCACTTCCCAATACTTTACTCGAAATCACTAAAATTCACATTTACTTTGGAACTGATGTGTTGTGTTGATTGAAAATAGCACGCTTTTAAATATGCAGCGTCCAAGGCTTACTTATCTGCTAAAGAATTATTTTACGTAGGTTTCACGTAAAATAGTACGTTTCATCATTGACAATTTGAAACCCAAGTACAATAAATAATTCTAAACATTTTATTAAGAAATATTAAAATATAGTTTTATTTACCTTTCCTTACATCTCTCAAAGACAAAAAAATTAATAGTACATTGTTTACCGGGTAGGAAAAGCTTAACATTCCTGGACGACTGTGAAGATTGCTAAGTCGAGGCGCAAGCCGAGACTTTTTTTTTTGTGTGTGTGTTTTGGCTTGGACAATTGTCATTCAGCCAGTCTCAATCAAGATAAGTTTATTAATGTAGTGTGTGTCTGTGTTTGTGTGTGTAGAGTAATTGTCTTGATACTTAGCAAAGTCGACGTCATTGTCTTTGCTAAGAGACGCTGGTGTTCTCGAAAGTAAAACGATAAGTGATGATGAAATTTCCATTCCTGGGACTCCTCCAGAGCTGGTTGAGGCAGTGAATACTGCTTCATTAGAATTATTGCCAAAGAAATCAAGAGAAAAGTACGAAAATGCATACAGACGTTTTATGGATTATCGCATGAGTAAAAATACGAGTTCTTTCTCAGAAAATGTTGTAATGGCATACTTCCTAGACCTTTGTTTAAAAATGAAATCTTCAACATTATATAAATATAAATATAAAATATAAATTAATTCCTTATAAGCAATGTGTTTTCTATCATTTATGTAGAACACTAACAACTGTACGGAAATATCATTTTTTTACAGTAAGGAAATGAGATTTCCTTACAGTAAGGAAGTCCTGACTTTTACTTCAAGAAATTTTGACAGGAATGTCAAAATTTCCTGGCGATTTGCGGAAAACAAATTTCTTTGACTGGAATAATCAGGTATTCTAATAAACCGACAATGTGAGTAGTGTTCAGGTATAAAATGCAGGGTTACGCAATTGAACTGTTACCAACTTCACATCGATATATCTGACAAATCGATAATGACAGCTACGTCAAAGTTGGCCTGGAAACACTTTAGTATATTGTTTATAAGCCGTCAAAAATTTGCATTGAAGTTTTATACATACAACAAAAGTTTCGCAATGGAATTTAAACGTAATAGTGTGATTGCGTTATATTTGGCTGGAAAATCACAACCAGCTATTGTTCGTCAGCTCAAACACCTCAAAGTGAATAAAATGTTTATGTATCGCAACATAACTCGGTATAATGATACTGGTAGCATTACCAAACGCTATGGTGATGGACGAAAAAAACAGCAACATTACCTGAAATGATTCAGAAAGTGAAGGCTCAACTTGAGCGAAATCGACATCGTAGTGGTAATCAAATGGCCAAGGATCTAAAAATATTTCAGCGATGCATGCAACGAATATGAAAAAAGGAGCTCAAGGTCAAGCCTTACAAGTTTCAAAAAGCACAAAATCTTACACCAAAGCAAAAAAAAATTTAGCTTGAAGGAGCAAAGGAGTTTTTACGCCTGCACGAATTAGGCGAATTTCCGAACATAGTGTTCTCTGATGAGAAAAATTTCCATATTGAGCAGTTCATAAACTCCCAAAATGATCGTGTTTACTTGACCGAACGCACCTACGAAAGTTTGAATTTACGAACGGTCACCCGAAGTAATTATCCATTTCAAGTACTGATACGGCAGCTGTAACCGCCTATGGACGCTCTCCAATCGTTTTTATTGAAACTGGTGTCAAAGCCAATGCAACTTATTATCGGGAAAATGTTTTAGAAACTGCTTAAGAGCCGTGGACACGCAAGAATTTCGGTTGTAGACCATGGACGTTCCAGCAAGACTCGGCATCATCTCATAAAGTTAGTGTGAACCAAGAATGGTTAATAATCCATGTTCCACACTTCATTTCATCCACACAATGTCTTTCGAATTCGTCAGATGCAAAAGATGCAAATCCGATGGACTATTCCATCTGGTCCATTTTGGAGAGCAAGATGAGGACTAAAAAATATGCCATATCACATTCGTGCAATATGCAACTCGTTTTTTGATCGTTTGAAGACCATAGTCAAGGCAAAAGGTTCCGACATCGAGCTAATGTGAGTGGATTCTGAAATTTTGATTATTTTCACACATTTTTGTCATTTGAATCAATAAAAAATAAATTCACACAAAAAAGTTATGGTTGTTTGAATAGGTAACAGTTCAATTGCGTTAGCCTGTATTATCATTAGGAAGTTTTTTAGAAAAAACTAAAATTTCCCATCGACATTGCCATTTCTCATTTCACATTTCTTATTGTCAATTGTTTGAGTTCATATTTACATTTCTGTGCTCATTTACATTTTATGTTATCTTCTGTTGCCGTACCTACGCTGAATATGCTAAATTTTACAAGGTGATTAATAACTACGTGATAAAGCAAACATACATTTTTTTTTAAACAGAGCACTCTGTAAATTTTTTCACATTTAGATTTCTCTCATAATATCTGTTCTTACTATTATACAGAGTACTTTACGAGATACAATCTTTTTAATTTCAAAATCGCTAACTGTATTTTATATAAAAAATGAATAAATTAATAAGTATTTTAGGCAAATCGCCAGGAAATTTTGATATTCCTGTCAAAATTTCTTAAAGAAAAAGTCAGGACTTCCTTACTGTAAGGAAATGTCATTTGCTTACTGTAAGGAAATGATATTTCCGTACAGTTGTTAGTGTTCTACATAAATGATAGAAAACACATTGCTTATAAGGAATTAATTTATATTTTGAAAACATCAAGTCATTGCTGAATACATTTTTAAGATCAATTTGGTATATTTACAGTAATTTGACAGTTGGTGCAATTATTGAACATTGGAGGAACACTCTTAGAACTATGAGAAACATTTTGGACAACATGCAGGGTGGAAGTGTCATTTTGTTGAATATTTTGTACTGTGAAAATTTTATTTGCCACCTCAACCTTATTGTTAAGCGATTCTTCGATATATCCTTCAGCAACGTTTGATGACTTCCATCCGCCATGCCTCTTTAAACTAGTTATGTCGGCACCAGAGTCAACCAATATTGCTGCAGAAGACCGACGAAAGCAGTGACCAGTATATTCTGTCGGATTTACCAAGTTCAAATAAGTAGCAATTATTTTGGGCATTTTTCTAAATTGATGAATTCCTACCACTTGTCTACAACCCTTTCCGCTTTGATATTTAAAGAAAAATCGGTCACTGTTCATATTTTCTGGTCTTAACGAAACATACTTTCGATAAACATTCAAGTAGATCTGATTAATTACAAATGATCTTGATTTGTTGGTTTTCGAATCAGGTATGCTGATTAAAAGCTTAGATTCTAAGTCTTCTATATCGTGTACAGTCATTCGGACTAACTCATCCATTCTACAGGCCCCAGAAATACCAAATATTACAGCCACCTAAAAATAAATAAAGCTATAATCTAAATAGAAATTAAAACCTTGTAAATTACCTTAATCATTAAATTTTCTTTATCTGGAGCTTCCTGGATAAATTTTTCAATTTCTTCCTTCGTTAAAATCTTAAGATTTCTTTGCCCTATAACCTTGAGCTTGCCGTTTCAATAAAGAACGAAGTTTTGAGTATGTAGATATATCTACATTGTGTTTAAGTGCAAGGTTTGACTTCAGCATTGAATAATTGGCCATAATGTTGAAGATTTCATCTTTAAACAAAGGTCTAGGAAGTATGCCATTACAACATTTTCTGACAAAGAACTCGTATTTTTTCTCATGCGATAATCCATAAAACGTCTGTATGCATTTTCGTACTTTTCTCTTGATTTCTTTGGCAATAATTCTAATGAAGCAGTATTCACTGCCTCAACCAGCTCTGGAGGAGTCCCAGGAATGGAAATTTCATCATCACTTATTATTTTACTTTCGAGAACACCAGCAATTAAATTTATAAGCGTCAAGTTTGACAATTCAACCTCAATACGTTTCCATAGTAACCCAAGTAATTTTATTAGGAATTTCAAAGCACCATTTATTTGGGAATAAAATTATCGCGTTTTTTTTTTTTAAATCAATCAATATCTGTCGAATTTTAAACGATTTGCGGAAAAATAGTATGTTTACCTCGTAGGAAAAGCCACATTCCTGGACTCTGTGTTGCTAAGTCTCGGCTTGCGCCTCGACTTAGCAATCTTCACAGTCGTCCAGGAATGTTAAGCTTTTCCTACCGGTAAACAATGTACTATTATTTTACATAATAAAATAATTAATATGTTGGTTTTTACAAAAATTGTTCTGAAGGTCTTTTATACAAATCAAAATGATATTTTATAAAAAATACACATAATTTTTTTTAAATATGTAACAATAAAACATTAAAAAATTTGTTTTCAAAACTTCCACGAAATTTTAATATAAACTCTTGTCACTACATCAGTTTCGGTTGATTGCCTTTCTCAAGTGATATATTTTTGGCATGCGTTTACACTCCACAGTCTTTAATGAAATACGTTGAGGAGAGGAGAACTGTTTGTCTCAAGTTAATCATTCGGAACTAGTGTCTGTTTTTTAATTTGTTGATTTTCATAGATTCTAACAAAGATAGCGTAAGGCCTTTATTTTGAATGTGAAGAATTTTAAATTTATCATTAAAAGAATGATTATAATCTAGATTTAGAAGGTGAAGTGCTTATGTAGAATCTGTTTTGCTATTATTGAAAGCCCTTTTATGTTCTGCTATTCGTTTATTAAAATTTCTACCAGTTTGACCGATGTAAGTTTTTGGACAACATAAGGGTAATAACTCATAAATATTCTGTATAGTAGTGTCAAACTCTATAAAAATATAGTGAGAACAGCGATTATTAAACTATATTATTATAGCGAAAATATACTGGCTGCTCTATTTAATTAATTAATAACTTTGTAGAATTCGGCATATTATTCAAGCCTGGAGAATATCATTGGCTACATAGTCTCTAAATATATTTTTTTTGGATATTCTGTACTAAAACATACATACCATGTATATAAAATAACATTTAGCATGTGATTGATGTATTTCTGTATTAATTTCTAATTCCTTTCGCTCTACTACAGACCTAGAACAATCCCGCGCAGTCTTGATCAATCCCGTAGGATCCAAGGGCTACGTCTTGGGGAACTCGACCGTTAGAACGGTGCAAACCATCAAATAGGTGATTATAGAAACATCAACTTTCTATTAACTAATTTTCTTTTATTTCAGATAAAGTTTCGTGGTTTACTCCAGATGAAAGGAAGGAAAGCCAAAAGGCGAAAACATGATCAATATTTAACGTTTACTATGCTTTTGTGCTAATTGAAAGAAATATTTGTAAAAATGTGAAATATATATATAATAATTTATAAAAATTATACAATAAATTGTTTATTCTATATATAAGAACTTCTTTTAATTTCCTCGCATTTTAATTTTCAAATACATTTTTAATTGTTTTATGATTTTTTTTATCACTTATAATTTAACTAATGATATTGACAAATAAACAAATGTCATAAGCTAAATATGGCTTACAAGTTGTAAAATCACTACCACTGGAAAAATTCATGAAATAATATAAATGATACATGCGAAAACAAACAAGTGCTGAATAAAAGATAGAAAGGTATTTTAGCTTAAAAAAAAAATCCTTATTATCACTACAAACTACGGTACGTATGATATAGAAATGATAGTAAGGTTTTGGTATCCTCACAAAAGAATCTCTGAACCTCCAAGTTGAAGGTTCGGCAGTGGGTTAACACTCCGCTCCCTTAAAAATTTACTGTTACAAAAACAGAGAATTTTTTAGAATGCATGTTTAAACAAATTTAATGTGATCAACAGTGCTCCATAATGTTTAAGTTTTGAGTATACTCAAAACTGGTGGTCTGTCACATAGCCTTGGTTAGATGTATGTGTCACATGACACATGTGACAAGATCAACATACACAACTTAAAAAACATGATTTTTGATTATAAGAGTTGTACAGTTATATTAAAAAAAAAGGGTACAAGTATTAGAAAGGGAAGTTAACGTCATCCTATTTGTGTAAAACCGGCTGGGATTTTTGGAGGTTATCAAATGTCATAAGTGATCAAAAATGCAACTCATAGGCGTCAAAGAGGTTTAATTTGATAGAAGGTTTAACGTTACGTACAATAAAAAAATTAATATGCCTCGTCATTTAAGTGAGATTGAAAAGGCTCAAATAATTACGAAAATGAAAGAAGGATGGTCAATTCGTGCGCTAGCAAATTTCTATAATAGAAATTTGAAAACAATCTTCAGAATTAAGCAACGATGGGTCCAACAACAATCATTAAAAAGAAGAGTTGGTTCAGGGCGTTCCAAAGTATCTACTCCTCAACAAGATACTGCTTTAGTTCAATTCTTAAGAGATAATCCATTTGCGACGTCGAAGGATTCAAGGATTCATACGGATTTCGTGGTGCCCAACCTACTGTAAGCAGAAGGATCATTGAATCTGAATTATAAAACCGACCAGCTGCTAAAAAAACATTAGTAACTGTTGAATATCGGCAAGCAAGAGTAATATTTGCACTAAACTATATTTACCGCAACCCACAATTTTGGAACAACGTCATTTTTACTGATGAAAAGACTTTTCAATCGACTATAACGGTCAAATCCGTGTTTATCGTTCAGCCAATACTAGGTTTGAAGAACGATATATTCACTCTCATAATAAATCTGGACGTTTTTCTGTAAATGTATGGGGTTGGATTAGTATACATGGACCTGGTGTTTGTTGGGGATTAGAGGGAAGATTTACTGCCGACAATTACATTAACGTTTTGGAACGCGTAATGCTCCCTTTTATTGAGCAATTGTATCCTAATAATACTTTTATATATCAACAAGATAATTGTTCAGTCCACACTGCCCATGCCGTAAGGAATTGGTTTCAAACGCAAAACCTGGAAGTATTGCCATGGCCTGCGCACAGTCCAGATATAAATTCAATTGAAAACATTTGGGGCATAATTGTTAAAAAAATATATAAAAGAAATTGTATGCCACAAAATTCAGATCAATTGTGGGATACAATCTTAGAGTGCTGGAAAGATCTTGATCCAAATATGATATCTAATATAATTCAAAGTATGCCAAATAGACTAAACAAAGTTATAGAAGCAGACGGTTCTATCACCAAATACTAAATTCTATTTGTAACAGTCAATAAAATTATTCTTTATATAATTGTTGAAAAAATGGTTTCGTCTAATTAATGCTCAACGCCAATGATTTATATTTTTAATAACCTGTGACATTTGATAACCTCCAAAAATCCCAGCCGGTTTTACACAAATACGATGACGTTAACTTCTCTTTCTAATACTTGTACCCTTTTTTTTAATATAACTGTACCATATGACGGGAACGGTACTACCATAACGAAACTAGCAAAAACTCTCGAGAGTTATGCCTATAACATGAAAAAAGGCACTGGCAACGACTATAAAGAGTCGTATGTAAAAATAATGTGGAATACTACAGCAAAAATAGTACAAGAAAAGTATTTTACGGATTACGGCATAAAAATCGGCCCTTTCACAGATATATTTTTCAAATGCGCAAGATTGGCCAGAGATATCAAGCGAAGGCACCTCAAAGTGTCCAAGAAAAAATAAAACTCAGTTCAAAAGCATTATTGACTAAAGAACTATTCAAAATCATCCAAAGCTACGGCGAGGAACCCCCCGATGGAGTACAAAAAAAGTGTTTTCACCTTTGCTGAAGAGAGGCAATGAAGCCGTAAACTGCAAGATTCACTTTTCCAGAAGGAATTTCCCCATCCAATGGCACTACAGCCCAAGCCAGGCCTTGGCCTCCTTCATTAAACCTCTCCAAACATCTCTATTTACTGCTGTTCTTTTCCATGAACGCGTTTTTAGGAGATTTTTGGCATCCTCATCTAGCTCGTCTTCCCATCTCTTTTTTGGTCTTCCAACAGGTCTTTTTCCTTGCATTCTTGCGTTTAGTAATTTTCTGGGGATTCTGTTCTCATGCATGCGGGCCACATGCCCTGCCCATCGTAATCTCTGCAGTCTAGTGTATTGTGCCAGTGTTGGTTCAGTGTATTGTTCGTATATTTCGTTATTATATCTAATTCGCCAGTTGTTATTTTCCTTTATTGGACCCAGTATTCTACGCAATATTTTTCTTTGGAACACGTCTAATGCATTGGTAGATTTCTGTGTTATAACCCATGTTTCACACCCATAACTTACTATTGGTCGGATTATTGTTTTATATACCCGGAGTTTTGTTTTCCGGTGTACGTCTCGCGATTTGAATATGTGGCCCATCGCGAAATAGGCTTTGTTTGCCAGCATAAGCCTTCTATTTATTTCCGGTTCTTCTTCATTATTTTCGACCAGATCAATTCCTAAATACGTGAATCTATTCACGTATTCTATATCGTCTATAAATTGTTGTTGTTGCGCCTGTCTATTTGATCTGGTTTGTATGAGTAGTTTTGTTTTATTTGTATTTATTGTTAGTCCTACAACTTCTGAACTCTGTTTCAACTGAACGTAGGTTTCTTCTGCCGCAGTCTTTGTTCTGCTCATTATGTTTATGTCATCTGCGTATGCTGCTAATTGGGTAGATTTGTTTGTAAGTATGTTATTTCTGCTCACCGTCAACCGTCTAATTACATATTCAAGAACAAGATTAAAAAGTGTTGGAGCCAGTCCGTCACCTTGTTTCAGTCCTTGCGTTGTCATAAACGCATCAGTGATCTGTCCTTGAATACATACATGTGCTTCTGTTTCTGTCATTGTCATTTGCACTAGTCTTATTAATTTTGATGGTATGCCAAATTCTTGTAATATATTAGGTAGTATTGTTCTATCTATTGAATCATAGGCTTGCTTGAAATCTACAAAGAGATTGTAGACGTCTATGTCATATTCCCATGCTTTGGCTAGTATTTGTTTAACTGTAAATAGTTGGTCAATAGTAGATCTATTTTGCCTGGACCCTGCTTGATATTCCCCGATAATTTTTTCAGTGAGGGTTGAAGTCTTCGATTAAGAATGTTTGTGAGTATTTTGTATCCCGAACAAAGTAAAGAGATGCCTCTATAATTCTGGCATAACAGTTTGTCTCCTTTTTTATGAATAGGGCAGATTATACTTTTCTTCCATTGTTGTGGGATTTTTTTTTCTCTCCATATTTCATTTGGTGGAAATGAAAAAAGAAGGAATTTGATGCAAACAAATTTTGAAGAAAACAAATCAAGGCGGTTCGAAAAGTTTAGCAAGCAGCAAATGGCTGGTAAGAAATTCATCAAACGAAAATTTATGCCCAATTAAATTTGTTTTGGAATTAATGGAAAAAATAAGAGCAAAAATTTTTCAAGGCAGACTCTTTCAGAGAAAGCAAGATCTGAATTTCAAAAAATGGGTAAGTAATTCAAATGTTCTGATTTACCAATGCCATTAAAAATCAGGTTAACACGATGTTACATCTTTCCTATACTGTTGTACGGAGTTGAGTCATGGACTCTCACAGACGCCACCTGCAAGAAAATTGAGGCTTTTGAAATGCGGCTTTATTGTCGCATCCTGAAGATATCGTATACCGACCACGTTACTAATGAGGGTGTTCTGTTGAGAATGAAAAAAGAAAAAGAGCTGTTAACCACAATAAAAACAACAGCCAAAATCGAATACCTCGGTCACATCATGAGGAACAGCGAAAGATATGGACTGCTGCAACTAATCTTGCAGGGAAAAGTAGAAGGAAAACGGGGACCAGGAAGGCGAAGGATTTCCTGGCTGAAAAATCTACGAACGTGGTTCAACACAACAACCACAAATCTTTTTAGAGCAGCAGTGTGCAAAGTGCAGATTGCCATGATGGTCGCCAACATCCAAAACGGATATGCACTACAAGAAGAAGAAGAAGAAGACTCTTTCATACCGTTCACCTCAACTGGAATGGATCTTGGTTCAAAAACTGTCCAATTGGAATCAACTCTGTATCTAAGTGGGCAGAACCATTCTCATGGTTCTTGGAACACCTTGTTTAAACAAGGTGTTTCTGAACAGGAGTTAATTAAATTAACGGGTTACTCAAATATAAGCTCTTTAAAACCATATCTGCAGCTAGATTTCAGTCACCACCAAAATTTGATCGAAAATCTCAGAACAAAAAATGAAGCTAGACCTTCGAGTTCCCAAATGCTACAGGTCAATATTATCTACACAAAATCATGCTTTAGTAAAATAGAATGGACAAACTACTATAGCTTATAATAATTGTACATTTAATATTGTTAACAAATAAATAAAGATTACGTCTCGTTGACATGGTACATTAATTGTGTCGTAAAATAGTCTTGTCGAATATCATTCAAGAGAAAA